GGTTATGTGCATTACCTTCTTAATAGATCTACATCTATTAATTACACATGGTTCCCTCGGATGAGCACTCAGGGAGTTGCCGGGTCCTCTGGGGGGACGTTTGTTTGCACTCGGGCACCTGTCTAGGTGTGACAGTGACATTCTCTAGGGACCCAGGGAAGGTAATTGTGTGCACCTTATTCTTTAAACTTTCTCATTTAAAAAAAAATTAAAAAGTCCGTATTCTCTGGAGGTTTGTACTAACTAATTGATTTTAATGAAGCTTTCCCTCTAGGCCAGAAGAAAATCTTAGCTTTATTTAAATTTCAAAATAGAGTGCTTGGTTGTCAAGTGCATTTGACTGTGTTTTACATATGTATCATGGTTGTCCTCCCTGATTCTTCTGAGAAAACAAAAAAGCTCAAATAATTTCCTTACCCCAAATTACAACACCTTCTGCGCCTGCTGCTGTGTCCCAGCTCCGGCCATGCTACTCCATGGCAGAAAGGGCAGCATAATGGTTTGGAAACAGTCAAGGCATACTCGATTTTCACTTAAAAGTGAGGATTCCGCCATCTTGTGAGCATCTAAACCCTAGTGATGACCCGTTAACTTCTTAAGAATCAGTTATCTGCTGGTCCCCACCCCCAGTTGCAATTATATTTGACCTACAAGGTGTATATTTTTTCCAGATGCCCAAGGAGCATTATACATGAGTCAAGAGAACGGTTTTTAAAAATTAATTCATGCATTCTGAATTTAGCATTTTTTCCTTAGGACAATTCCACTTACCCTCTGGCACATTCTAAAAAAAAAAAAAAAACAAAAAACCTCTCTTTAAACTATATATACCACTTGTGCTATTTCTAATAATAGGATTGTTAAGGCACTTCGTGCAAGATTAAACACAGGCATATGTGGTATTTCTGTCACGGAGAAAAATTTCACATTCTCCCAGTCACAAAGATTGAGACTGAGTTCTCTCACCCATTGGCATTTTTGTCTAGGCTATCACTTCTTCCAGCCTAGAAGGTGACAAATTTGCCAAGGAGAGAGCTGAATTGGGTGGGGTCGGGGCAGCATGTCATTAAAGTTCAGTTTGGTGCCAGGAATAGTCTCTTGGGACCAAGTGAGGATGGGGGAAAGGCACCCAAGGGCCCGATAATGAGCCAGGGACCTGCTTTGCTGGAAACTGGGACCAAATGAGAGTCTAAAGAGCAGGGGTTAGAATTCTACATCTTGAATGAGAATTTTGACAACCGTGCAGTGTGCTCAGTTGCCCAGTCAGGGAGGAAGAAGGCCTTTAGCCGAGGGGTATTCAGAATATCTGGGAGAGAGACATTGCACCCAGTGACCCAGTGACATGGAAATGCAATGCAAAATCTTCAGCCAAGAACGATGCGGAAACAGCCTCCCTAGAGATGGTAGGTACCTTGCCCCCCCCACCTCCACCCCATGACACACTCTTCAGCAGCTGGAGAGTACCCTGAGCTTTGAAGTGGCAACTTTGTTCTCAGGTAGAAGTTACTTTCTATATGAAATAATGAACTTCAGAAAGAGTCTACAAGGCCCAGTGGTAACTGAAGCAAGAGAGCTCAGCCACGGAAAGGCCAGAAGTGTATATGTGAAAAAAGGAAGGGGACTGGATGTTATTAATGCACACCTCTTTGCTCCCCCCATTCCCTTAACCCCTCCTATCACAAGGTGAGACTTCTAAAGTAGAAGCTTCATGAGCCCAATTGAGCATGATTTCTTTTTAATATGAAGAACCAAAGTAACTATGAGTTAACTTTTTTATATTCTTTTATTTTTTTATCTTTATTTTTTGTTTTATCAAGACTGGGTTTCTCTGTGTAACAGTCCTGGCCATCCTGGAACTCACTTTGTAGACCAGGCTGACTTGGAACTCACTGAGATCCACGTGCCTCTGCCTTCCCAGTGCTGGGATGAAAGGCCTGTGCTGCCACCAAATTTCTGAAGAGCTAAAATTCTTTTCTATGTGTTGAATCATTGCGATTAGTCAGAGATCAGTATATTTGCTTTCTGCATCTCTACATGTAACTGAAGCTTGCTTATGCGACAGTCTGTTCTTTTCTTTTAATTGGCACACGTGTTTTTGGCTTTTAAAGATGAGGCATATGATCCCGATCTTTTAAATCCTCAAGTCTACTGGGTTTGTATATGTGGTAAACTGAGGCAAGGGCATTCTGAAGTCTCCTCATGTGCACCCAGCCAGTAGACCCACCAAAGCATTTATAGACAATCCAAAGACACAGAGAGAGAGAGAGTAACCACAGGCAAATAAATAAATGCTTTACGGCGAAATGTTTACTTTTGTTATACTTAACATTTTAAAATGTTTGTTGTGAGTGTGTTCTTCCAGATAAAGTCTACATCTAGACCATAAAAGTAGGTAAACCAAACACTTCAACCTGTTGCTTCCAAGAGCCTGGCACACCTCTGTTCTTGAGAAAACATTTATCTGTCTCCCTTGGGGGAGTAAAAATGTCTCAAAGGGCAGGGTGGCAAGAG